AGGGAGCCCGATGTGGGACTCGATCCCGGGACTCCAGGATCATGACCTGAGCCAAAGGCAGTCGCTTAACCAACTGAGCCACCCAGGCGCCCTATGTGATTTGATACCCTTATGAATCCTTTGAGTTCAACATTACTATTTCCATTCTATTATCTTAATGTCACAGATGAGGAACTGAAGCTGAGAGAGATTAAATAACTTCCCAGGGTTATCAAGCTAGAGAGTGGTTGTGTTAGGAATTGAATGTGGGCAGTCTAATGTCAGAGACATTGTTTGTAAACATCATGCTGTACTCTGAGACACTATCCTCAACATTTCTATATACCTTACAAATATGGTTATTGCTCAAGTCTATGGCACTCCAAAACAAACTGTCTCATTCCTGATGCTTTCCATGTCCTAGTAGACTTAGAACACATCTGTGTTGGTTGTTAATCTTCTGGACCAAACCCACACCTCAAGGAGCTCTTTGAACCCCAGTAGGTACAGGAGTGTCAGCCTGGGACATCTTATAGACAGTTAGTAGTTTTGTCCAAGAACATCTCATTGAGCCAAGTCAGCTGGACACACTGAAATTTATGTGTGCCCAGGACACTAGGCCTCTCCTTTGTGACCCAGGCTTCTAAAGTACTTGTTAAGATATGCATCCAAGTATTTGTACCCCAGGGAAGACACCCAACAAGATCCTCCATTTTGGTGACTGGAACATAACAAGGACAGATTTTTACTTCAAAAAGAAGATCCTAAAACCCAAAACACAAGAAAACTTTGCGAAGTATGAGCATTGTTTCTGAAAGTTCAACACTCACCAGCTTTTCAGATATCATCAATTCCACCATATTATTTTATGGTGGTATTATTTTCAGTCCCACTAAATGGAAATTCTTTTAACCAAAAGTGTCCTCATCCATGGCATTTATTCATGATCTATTGTTCACCTTAGACTTTTGGGGGGCAGCAGGGGAAAGAATGGTCAGTGTCTATATTTTCAGAGCCAGAAACAATATAAAAAATATGAAGAACGGTTACAGTATGGATACATCATGGAAACTTCATGAAATGCTAATTCTTCTAGGAATGTCCAATGTCGTAGTCAGATCATCCTCTAGCTGCCCCTTCCTTAGAGCCCCATCAGGAAAGACAAGAGTTAAAATAGAGGAGCATACCTCCAGTTTCCTCCTGTTACCTTACCCACATGTCTGAAAAGCCTAAATTGGGTTTACCTTTCGAGGTTGGCTTTGTGGATGGTGTAATTTCATCCATATCCCCCAAACCGTGTCCCATCTGCTCCAGAACATCTGAATCCCCCTAATGGAGAACGAAGACTTTCACTTCACAGTTAGAGATAAAAGGCTTAGAATGAAAATGTCTGCTTGATGTAAGACCAAGACTAAAACGAGCTCACATGACACTGTAGTCAGGCAGGCAAGCAGCAAGGAAAAAGGAAATTGGCCACTATAGGACGCACTCACAGTCTTTGGCAGAGGAAAAAGGTTAAGGAATAAATAGGTGGGCTCCTGAAAGAGGGAGGGGTTTGAGGGAATGGTTGAAGTAAAAGGGGACTAGGGTGGCAGAAGTAACTGACACCGAGTTCACAGCTTCCATCCAGGGCCAGTGAATAAGGCTTATTTTGAGTCCCAGCCCTATCTTAGCTGTTCTAAATAATAGCAACAGCAAGATGAATCTGAAATGAATTTGAATCTGAAAGGCATAATTCCTATGCCTTGTATGTGGGGAATCAGAACCCTTTGTTGAACAGATAAATGCCTTGTACTTAAGAGCAGAGTGAGTTAGTGGTACATAGTTGTAATTCTGTCTCTATTTCTGAAACAGCCTCATGACATTAGCCTGATTGATTAGCATGACATTTGCCTAAGAGCATCTAAAGGGTTTTACTTAGGTATCTGCAGACCCTTTTCTACAATCCAGCGTCTGTTCACCCACCTACCTTTCCTCCTACTTTAATAGGCATAGTACCTCTCCCAATCTCTAATGATTCACCCTGGAATCTTAGATGTGACTAAGTAAAACTCATCAGTCAACTGTAAATATTTCCAAAATAGTAAAAGTGCTTAAGTACAAACCAGGACTGATCTAAATCCAACACACAAATTAACTCATTTAATCCCCTCGGTAACTTTACAACAAGGTAGGTAATATTATTATCCACAATTGCATTTTACAGATGCAAGTCAAGGCACAGAGAGATTGACGAATTTGCCAGAGCTCACACAGGAAGTGGCACAGCTGGGATGTGAGTTGAGCATACACATTTCAGAGTCTTGCTCCTAGCCCCTGTGTCAAGCTACAACCGTGCTGCTCAGGCAGCTGGAAATCACTTGGATAGCTTCTTATAAAAGACCAGGAGGATTCATTCAATCACCCCGATTGCAAACCAATGACAGAACGTGCACAGAGGAGTTGTTTGTGCTGTCTTAATAATCACCACCTCACAGATTTGAGCAAAACCTTTCCCTCAACAAAACTAAAACACCCGGTTTGATATAGATGTTTTACCAGGTAGAGACCAAAAGGCCACTGAGAAACTTACCCACAGTTTCATTCTTGCTTGAAACAGTTTTCCCACTAGGGTAGAAATATTTTCAATAAATCACTGATTCTACATTCAATCTGCTCACTTCCCATGCAGAGAAGAATTAAGCTAATATCTACTATAAACAAGATAAAATGATCTCAAATACCATCTTCCGGTTAAAAAGTATAGAAATTATCTCTGGAAGCCTAGATTTTGCTGTACATGCTAAACAATAGGAGGTCACCAGGAATCATGTGAAGACACCAGGATTCAATTTATTTAGCACCAAACAACTGAAGCACTGCCTATATTTTGCTGGATGATTACTGTTGAGAAATCCACCTCCCCTTGTGAATTAAAGAAACTTTATGTGACTTCCTGTCTAAATGGATTAATGGTTTACTACTGGTTACTAGCTGAGGTGGTACTTAAGTTTCCTCAGGGCTAATGACTGGGCAGCACCCACAGTTTTATTCCACACCAATCACTGCTCAATCATCTCTTTCGAGGAAGAATCTAACCAATAAGAAGAAGCCTACAATTCTGGGCTGAAAGCTAATTGCCCCATATATGCCTGGCTGATGTTGAGAAACAGGTAACACTTCCTGAGAAGAAGACTCCTTCTTCTGGTGGTAAGTTAAACATTTCTGGGTGGGGTAAAAATCACAATATCATGTCATAAAGTGGATTGAGGAGTGGTGTAAAGGCAAAGGATGTCGAGGACTATGATGAGAAGTAGTATATTCTATAAAAACTAAAGAGATGACAGTTTCACTTATAATTTCCCCCGTAAAAGGTTATTTGCAAGTTGAAGTTAAGATTTTTTTTTTTTTTTTAGTTCAAAGAAATAGCCTAAGGACTTCAGGAGAGAGGCACATTTTTGTATTTGTCTGTTTTTCTAAAAAGCCAAAATTTAAGGTATCAATAAAGAAATATTATTCTAATTAAAGAATGTTCTAAGATGGGCTCATGGATTGTAAAGTGATTATGTAGTCTATTTATCTCATGGTCAAATACAGGCTTCTCAATGAATTTGAGACTATTTCATTAAAGGGAATCAATAGGGCATGATTATTTTACCTAAATATAGCATACAACTTTATTAAGGACTGAGATTTATTTCCTTACCCTGAATATTCATATATTTTTAAAGAGTCCATGATAGCATTTGTAAAACATAAAAATGTATGAGCAAATAAAAGGCTAGTAAAAGATCCAAGAATTTACAGAGCTATCTTCCTCACAGGATATATTATTATAAACTAATAGCATGTATTTCTTAGAAGTTTTAAAAATATTTTTAAAATTTTATAATCATCATATAATAAAATCATCACATAATATGTGTTCATATCAATAATAAAATATTTTGCAGTTTCAACATTTAGTAACGTCAATGAACTGTGTTTCAGACTGAGAACTGAGAATATTCTCATCAGTTCTTACTGTACTCAGTTGGTAGAGTTATATCTTTTCTAAAATCATATTAAATCCAACTGCACTGAGTCTAAGCAAATACTACAAACACAGATAACAGTTTAATGACTGCACTGAAAATTCTGTTTGCTGAAGCAGTTCCCCAGTT